GAGGGAGTTTTTGGTGCAAAAGTGTTTTTTTTTTTTTTTTGGCAGGAAAAAAACAGCAGATACCAGCTTCCAATTCCAATATTTATCCAACATTTATACAGTATTTTCAACACTTATTAACTAATTAGTCAATATATACTCAATAACTAAAGACTGATCCATGCTGACTCAATGTACATAAGCTAATAGACCGGCTTTGATTCAGTATTAAATTACAGCAAGTTATGACAGTGACTGATTTATGACTTTGTCAATAGTCCATGCTGGGCTGCTGCTGCTGGAGCGTCCCCAGCCCTGCAGCCACAGCAGCCAGAGCTGGGCAGGCGCCGCCAGCAGGTCCCAGGCATGGGCAGTCACCCCACACAGGCTTTTCCCTCTACTGTCATGGCAGCAGTAGCAAGGCAAACCTTGGGCAAAGGCAGCCACGCTTGGCCAGAGAGGAAGCTAGAACTGCTACAGTTTGGGTACTCCTGTGCCAGATCTTGGGGTGAGCTGTGGGACACCTGCAAGGGCTCTGGCCTGTTTAAAGACCTCAAAGTTGAATGGAGCAGGTCTGTAGCCCATGTGGTGAGAGGCCAAGCTGAGCAGTGGGCCCACCATGCTGCAGTTGGCTGTAGCAAGCACCAAGACAAGACAGCAGTGCCGCAGGCACGCTTTCTAGTGCGTGAGGGACGCTGCCATCTGTGGCCCTAACCCAGGGCTGGGCTGTATTAGTCCAGAGGCTCACTCTCCTCCCCAAAGGTCAGGCATCACCGTAGGGACCCAACTGGCTTCTGTCAAACAGCATTTGGCTTACCCTATCATAACCAAAATAGTTGTAAGGACAAACTCTCCGCTGTAGGTTAACCTCACTGATCAAGTAGTTGCCCACGAAACTTGGGGAAACAATAACTGCTCTCACCTTGAGTGAACGAGAGCTGTAGCTCTGACCTTGGCGCTCTGACTTCAGAAACAAATGAAGGCACAGCAAAAACTCCAGTAAAGAAACAACGTACGGGAAAATGAGTGGTTTGCTTGCTACTCTATGAACTTTACCCACGTAAAGTTTCCCAGTACCCGCCAAAAACAGTAAAAGGTGAGGTTTAGCAAAGCTAAGAGAAGTAGCAGTACATTCGTGAGTCAATTTTACTTTTAAATGGGTAATAAGATTGTAATTTTAAATTTAACAAACTGAAAGGCTGATTTAAATAGAATCCTTAGGTACCGTAGAACCTACCAACACAACGTAGAAACCTGAGACAGATGCAGGCTGTGATCAATGCCAGTCAAACGGCTACCCACACAATGGCTACTACTAGAGTAGAAGTAACATTGAAGGAAGATAGTATACTAAGTATTAGAGGATAATCATACCTGTCCCAAACCTGAAGCTTAACTGCCGTATTTCAAGTTTCCAGAAGTTGACCCTACCATGCATGATTATAAGCAATGCGTTTAAAACCTTTCCTGTAAAAGAAAAAAGAAAAGATGGTAAAAACCTATGCCTAATTGTAACAACAAACTTAAACTTTATCTCTTCGTCATAGGCAAGGGGCGGAATCAAGGAATAACAAATACCGCTAACAAGTGGTGAACAGCTGTTTAAGAAAAATGGCTAATAAACTGAATAAAAGAGGAAAAAAAGTCTATTGACTAGACTCAGCATCACCAGGGACCCCTGTGGAGGTAGACGTTCCAGCCTGGGTAATTAAGGTAATCATTAACACCAGTCTTGTGTTACTTTTCAGTGTCTTCCGTAAGTATCACTTCTAGAAAAACAAGTAATACGTTCCACCCCACGGATACTGATAACTACTTGTGGCCTACCTTTGCTTCTGCTGTTCTTTGTCGTCTCATATGTATATGAGAAGACAGACATAACACTTAGCTCAATTAGCATGACTGAAATTGTAGAAAAGAGAACAAGGAACCAAATTAGATCAAATTCAAAGGTGTCCCCAAGTCATTTCTCCTCATGAGGAACCCTGTTTTCCTCCAACTACTGAAAATGACCGGAATCTGGGATGACCAGATGACCTGGGAAATATGCTCTAGAGGACCCTGCTTGAGCAGGGGGGTTGGACTAGATGATCGCCAGAGGTCCCTTCCAACCTCAACCGTTCTGTGATTCTGTAATTATCCGATCTTGAATTTATCTATGCATAAAGCGTATATATGCAAATATGTATTGACAGTGCATCTGTAAATGTGCATGTGAGTTAAAAGAAACAAGTCAATCAAATCCAAATGCTTCCCGCAGCAAATAATACTTTAACAGATTGTACATCATTAGGTATCTTTATAGCTTCTGGAGTGAGAGAACCGCACTTCTATGCATGTCAGAACACCATTACAGAAATTAATGGTCCGTCATAGACTTTAAAAAAAAAAAAAAAGCACCTGGTAGGCCCGAGAGCTTCCTCAATTAGAGATGTCAGCACACTACGTGTGTGGTTATGTAGTTATGTATCAAAGTTTAATTATCAAATAACTAACTTGTAAAAACGTAATATTACAATATTCCTTTTAAGGGAAAAAGCGCATCCTTTCGTAAGTCCTCTGAACTAAGAATAATCTCCAAATCTGTACATGTGTTGTATGTGTCAGCTGTAAGACCACGTTTGGAAGTTGAAACCCACACTGTACCTGCAGTAGAACACAATCCGTCGGTGACTGGGCCCAAGTCAGTGGGACTTCTCTGACGCAGTGGAAGTTGTAAAGCATGTGTCCTTGAGAATGAAAATGGCTTCTGTCAAGTGACCCTGGGGCTCCTGGATAAATTGTAGTACCAGCACACAACCACAGTTCAAGTCATCCACTATGCCAAAATGCTCTTCTGTACAGTACCCCAGTTATAAGACATGTTAACCTCCCAGTAAGATAACTTCTTCAGGCACCATCAGCCTCAGGACTGTTGCCCTTGGCCTTGTGCCCAGTTACAGGAGCATTAATATCTGCTCTAGTGCTAGCTTATGTTTATGGTTGTATTATCACATACTGGCAACAGCCCTATGTACAGTGCCCGCTTTCACTGCCCAAAGTGAGCAAAAAGAGGTCAGTGGGTGGCCAGCTGCCCTGGATGGCAGAGCAGGCTGCAAGGCTGAGCGCGGTCGGAGCTGTGCCCAGGGCTGGTACGCTGCACTAGTGTGACTCCCTTTGGGGAGCGGAGGGCTGGAGTGCTGCGTGCTATGCTGACCGAGGTGATGCACAGCAGGAGACTCCCCTTGGATTCTCATAGCCTTGCGCTGGCAGATGCTGAAGTCCATGTGCCTTGTATCAGGCAGCATGGAAACAAGTGTCATGAATGTAGGAACTGTCCATTCTTCCACCTCTTGATTCCACCTCCCTAGAAGCTAGGGAATAAACAGAGCTTAGAAGATACACTATTAGCTAATAGTCATTTAGGTAGTCAGTAAGTGCTTCCTCATAACACACCTGCACAAAGCTTAATAGCTAATTAGTGCTGCAACTTCTGTGCTGATCAAGCATGTTCCAATCAGCACTATTAGTATGGTGAGTGAGAGAAACCAAAAGGGAGATTGAGCAGGGCCTGATGAAACTAGAATGAAGGTGATGCCTTTCAAAAGGCTGAGTACTTGGGTTTCAGCTTACAAAGATCTAACAGCAAGTGTTCAGGTCCCTGTGTCTTGTGTGAACATCCCCATTTTGTACAAAACTGGAAGTCAGAATGACATAGTTTGAGGAATATGAGTATGGTTGACAAAGGCAAGACAACATTCTTGAATCAAAACATCTCCCCAGAAGCAATGTGTTTGACTAGGCACTGAGACCCATACAGCCCCGTAACTAACATGTGAAGATCCCATCAGTTTGACTAGAAATACCATATGAATCAAATCAAGCTTCCTCACGCCATGGTGAAACTCCCAGGATTAGCAGGTGGTCCCAGAGGAACATGATCTGAAGCAGAGCTCATCCTTCCCTTCTGGGTCTCTGAAGGATTTTTCTTGTAGAGTGCAGATGAACTATATGAAAACTGCCAAAAAAACAACAGGAAAACAAAACAAAAAGCCTTCAGATGCATAATACACATTTTGGGTATAATAAAGGCACTTAAAATGAGAATTTCTATAGACTACTTGCTTAGGATCTCCCTCAGCTTTCCACACGTCAGGATCAGGGTGCGGAAAAGCCAGTCTTCAAATTATCAGGGACTTGATAATATCTTCATGTTTCTTCCATACAAAAAAAAAAAAAAAAAAAGCTTTTCATGTTCAGTTGAGAAAGAAAAGCATCAAGAGGATTTCAAAGCAGACTGTTAATTACTGGAGCGATTGCCAACATTTTTTAATTCCATTTTTGTATAGCAGCCCACCAAGTGCTACCGTACCAGGTTTTACTGTACCATCTTGGGAAAACAAAACCATCCACAGGAGCTCAGAGATGAACATCAGCTTCTGAAGAAGGTTAAGCAGATGGAGCAGTGCCCATAGGCACAGTCTGTCAGACTGCAGCTGAAAAGGCGTTTCCGGTAAGCTTCTCCCATACTTTCCCCTGAGGACTCAAGACAATTAACACTGGAGTTCAGGGAACACTTCACAGGGGGAAAAAAGGATAACGTTTTCAGGTGAAACATCCAGATACTATTCACCAAATGGACTTCTCAGTCCTCCTATCACTCAGGCTCTAGTCAGCCAGACATCGCTTTGTCTTTCAAAAATTTTTAGGATCAGTATTTCAACTCCAAGAAGTAGTTGGAATGAAGTCAGCCATTCTGTCAAAACACATCCATCACCCTCTCCTCATAATAGCTCCTTCTGGGCCACACCAGCTCCAGCGAGATTTTCCTGCTTGCATATTTTTACTATATTTAAAGAAAAAAATGCATACCTTCAAAGGAAGGCTCAAGGAGATATTCACAGCCCCATATCTTGTATGCACGTTGCTATTAGGCTGACATATTTCCCTCCCTGTCCCCGAATGTACTGATAGCTACCCTGGTGAGAGAGAGGACAAAAACAGCCCCTTTGTAAGGGTTCTGGTGCTGCTCAACAGCTCTCATGGGACTTTTCTGCTCTGCTGCACAGCCTCCTGTCCTTGCCTGCATGTACCATGTCAGACAGTCATGAAACCAGGAGGAGAGGAGGAAACCGTTCCTAACGTGTAACCTGCGCAGAAAGTAATGCTGCCACTGCAGCTCCAAGTGAGAACAACGTGGAATGTTAGAATTGATAGTATAACGCTTTAATTATCTGTGTAACAATAAACTTACACTCAGGATGTCTAAGTCAAAAAAAAATTCCTGATCACTCATCAGGTCAAATTTGAGAGCCTTTAGCCAGGGGGTGGAGGTGGAGGTAGGAGGAGGCAGTGCAAAGTGGATTAAACCAAACTGATTAAGATATGCGCACACACTAGGTTAGATTAATGCAGCCATATATCACCCTGTGCCAATGCTAAAGAAATGTCACTTCCCAGTATCCTTTTATTAAAGCAACTGTACAGATGCAGAGATCTGTAACACTGTCCCTTGTCATTTTTGATTCGTAAAGCACCAATATGCACAACAGAAAATGAACTTCCAAGCTTTACCTTGTACTACATTTAGCATTATTAAAAATCTGATCTCATGTACTAGGAAGAAGGAAATCATAGGAAATTAAGTGATGTGAACGCTGCATATCTGTCTGAAATAAAATAGCGCCGGTGTTTTCTGATGAGCAAAACCCATGACACAGAAAAAAACATCGAGAACATGAATAATATGACTAACAGATCAAGACTTTGACACGCTCAGCTTAAGTGTGCGTCAGTCACACCAAATAGAGGTAAAACGCGGTGAAGGAGTACGTTATTTAAATTTTCCGTAGGTCACAGTTGTGAAATCATAATTCACAGGAAGTAAGCGGCTCCTGCACTTGCTCGTCAGTACTACGTTTCAGGCCCTCACAGAGGGCTTTGGGAATAGGGTGAATTTGGTTCACCCTCCCCTGCCTGCGTTTCATAAAAATCTGCATATCTCTAATTCAATGCTCTAAGGTACCTAGATTGTTACACCGACAAAGTCAGTACTCTAAACCGAAAATTAGACTATTCCCCTGCCTGCTCTGTGGAGCTGACAGTCTCAAAGACTCAGTAATGGGAACAGTCTGACTGTAATGCAGGGAAAGGAGTTTGCTGTAAATATTGATGCTGAATAATTTGAATCACACCTCCATCACTACAGTAACTGTATGCTATATATTATATTTACATATGTCATCCAATTACCAAAGAGTCTGTGAAAGAGCAATGGGGGGGGGGAGAGGAGTGAATCCAAGCCAAATGCCTACGATTACAAAAGAAATACCAAATCATTGACTTTTTTTTTTTTTTTTTTAAAAGGTAAATACCCAAAAGTAAAAGAAGTTCCTGAGCTACCGGAAAAGGAACCCCAAGGGAATGCGTTCAAGAAGTGCCACATCAGGGAAAAAAAAAAGGGAATGCATGGGTAAAAGACATCATGGTAACAGTTTGTATGTATTATTCATGTTCCTTTAGTAGCCTGTGACACGGTGAGATATTATAACTAATGCTGTAAGCATACTCAGACACAATACAGAAATGCTTACCATGTTCTTGTATCCAACCTAGCAGTGCACTGCCTGTCCAGAAAAGATGCATCTCCTGCAGGTGGTCTTTCCTGTCTGCCATCCCTGTAACATCAGACACACAGGTTAAGGCAAAATGAATATCTGAATTATTTCTCTGTGGAACCTTAAATCAGGGTGTGCCCAGAATTATAAAGCCCCCCACTGGCAGTTAAAGCTTAACTCTATGGTACCAACCACAGTCTCCTGATGAATCTGCTACTCCTCTGCTACTTCTCATACATACACTAATTGTCCTGCGCAATCAGATAGGTGAAATGAGTTAGCGCCACCAATTATTTCTGTGCACCACTTAAAAACCCTTTCATGACTTTGTTCTATGAGACATGACATAGAAGAAACTCGCGATGCTTTGCTTTTTTTCTAGAGTGGTATCTGCGCGGCTTCTGGTTTACATAGGTAGCTGTTTTCCAGTTTGCAAGATGCTGAGCTTTGACGACAGGCTGATGGAACAAGTGTAAGATTTGCAGAGTGTCATGCCAGTTTCATTCTCAAAGTCAAGGGGATTTTCCCATTAGTAAAACCTGCTTTGCAGTCTGACATACAGACTCTAAGGACTTCTTGCCAAAGACATGGAGTCACATTCTCAAAAGGGCTTACGTAGCGGGAGTTTTTTTCCTCAAATGATCTAATGATTTAACAGCCTAAATTTCACTTTTGAAGTGACTTGGGCCAGATTTTGGGAAGTATTTTAGAGCCTGGAGTCACAAAACAGCTCAGCAGAGGGATTATCAAAATAGCTCATAAATACCTCCAAATCTGCACGGTGGGACCATTTTGGAGAAACGCACGTGCCAACACCCTTAAGTTCTCTTCATTTTCAAAAATGCAACAGTTCCTGGGTGAGGAAGGGGAAAGTCGAATCTAAAGTTGATTTCAAAGCACTGAATTTTTACAGTGAAGACTCCTAGAAGCTGCAGAAACTGGTTATGATTTCAAAAGAGGGCGGGCAGAAGCCAAAAGCTTTTCATAAACTTTGGAAAGCTTTCATGCAAAACGTAGATGAAAATGAATGTTTCCGAAATTGTCGGCAGGTAATCATGCATCCATTACTCACCGTTCCTTACCATGCAGCGTTTCACCGATCATCCTAGGGCTGGTGGGTACTCAGCTTTCTGATTGCCTGCCCACTTCTGTCACATGCCTCAAGAAGGAAGGAGCCTTTTGAAAGCCTAGGCTCTAGTCTCCGAGTCTGCAAGGCAACACAACCCCTTCCACAACTGCGCACAATTTTTTCTCCTGGTTTTGCAGGGATCGGATGTGATAGGAGGGAGCTGTGCAAACTGCACTGTCTGTCTGCAGGACAAGAAGCAGGGCCTGGATATACCCTAACGCCTTCAGTAGGCTCTTTTCTGTTCATTAGAGCCCAGCCTAGCTCATTTCTACCAATGGGCCGGCTGTAAGGCTCTGGCTCCTGACCTGCCAAGCAGGATGAAGTGACCTTAAGCCTCTGAGGATTCAGAGAGCTCAGAGAAATGCAGGACAAACACCTGAAAATGCCTGACGCTCAGGAAGTGAGCTTGCCTCTTAAGCAAACAGATAAAAATTGCAAATATTTCCAGATCAAGCTGCCTCGAGTTAGGCTTCCCAGTCCAGAATAGGGTTCCCTCAAGGGACATTTGCCCTGATTCACCAGCCTGAACCACAGCAACTTCCCTCGATTTTAATGGCCTTCAAAGGTGTTCCTGACCAGATGAGCAGACCAAATTTCTGTGAGCTGACTACGCATGGAGGTTTGAGAAACCCCTCTCTAGTCAGCCCAGGCCTGGAAATGTCGACTATAAAGTTTCTGAAGCGGTCCCCCAGCAACTGCCACAGGCCAAATTTTTGGAAAAATTTCCTTAGCACTTTCTGCTTCTGCTGCTATTAAGAGCAAACAAGAAAATACATCACAGCAGTGTTAGGAGCCTGGCTTCCCGGCCACGGACAGGAGTCCAAACAGTCACATTTGAATGCTTGTTACCTGCATTTCTAGCTTTCTCGCCATTCTTTTAGTTGTTAGATTCTGTACATCAACACAACATTTCAGAAAAAAGTATTAAACTACTCAAAATTTGACTCAAAAAATAAATAAAAGCAAAATGAAGCTAGGAAATCCTAAGCACGTCTCTTCCCAAATGAACTTCCCATAAGCAAATTTTTCCGAGTGAAGAAACGTGTGCATGAATTCTGGTTAAATGGCTCAATAAATGCCCCACAGATTGATTTCAGTTTGCTTGTCTTCTCCTAAAGGACTGTGCTGGCTCTGCCTTCAGATGAATAGGATTTCAGCAATCCCAGTGCAAGACTGAACTCTACAGCTCATTTTCTCTGTTAGCACAAGATCCACAGTCCTCCTTGTGGTCACCTGCAACTTCAGCTGGACATCACATTCTCCTGGAATAACTGTTAAGTTTTTTTTTTTTTTTTTAAAATAGCAAAGAATATTTTGAGGTAAAAAAAAAAAAAAAACAACAGTGATCTGGTGACGGTAATACTAAAGTATTTAAGAAACACGTTTCAATTTACCTCTTCAGTTTTCCTTTCATACCACTGGGGGAAAGTGAGGGGCTGGGGAGAGAAGGGATACAAGGTGCTAAAGACCTAAACATCTCAGGTTTTTGGTTTTTTTGTTTGTTTTTAAGTAAAGTGCTTCTATTGTTCAATTCCAACTGACTATTCCTTTTCAAAAGTTTCCTTCCATCTTGCTCTAAAAAGTGTAGAAAGTTAAAATAAATAGGGTAAGTTTGCTCTAAAAGATTTTAGTTGACTAAAATTCTGAATTTTGTTTTGCATCAACCTGAAATAGGGTTTAATCTTGCTTTTTTTGGACTCCCTAAGAACTGGAACGATCATATGTGCACATGGCTTATCTAACAAGAGATTTGAGCTTAGAAACAGACTGTTTTTATGCTCAACTCCTTTCCTTGCCCATGCATCTGTCTTTCACCCATTTCTATTGTAAGCACCTAATACTGAAGATTCTGGGCCCTTACAGAGGTAGGACAGGAAGTCCCTGAGAAAAGAGCTCTCCTCACTTTTGAGGACCAACCTAGTTTCCGATCTTCTTTTCTTTCTTTGCCAGATCTTCGTGCACTAATTTATCTGTGTCACGGCACTTGTACTGATTTTTGCTCTCCTTCCAAAATTGTGGTGCTCTGTAAAATCCTGAGGAGCATGGACAGGGTGAAGAACTTAAGGGGTATTGGATAAAACCAAAAGGAAGCCAATTCAAAAACAAACTAAAGGAAATGCTTGCTTGCGTAAGGTTCACTTATGCTGAGGAACTCCTTGCCACAGTTAGAGCAGATGCTGGAAGATTACATGGCTTCCAAGGGAAGCTGGGGAAGTTCACAGAAGACAATTCAAATCAGCACTGTTCAATATTTGGTCCAGGAAGTCTTTGAGCCTCAGAGGGTAGACAAGTATGTGGGGAAACTACGCGTGCATATACTCTTCTCTACACATCAACTGTTAGCTGCTGCGAAATGGGGGACAGCGTGAAAAAGACGACCCAATACAACCATTGACCCAACCCAATATAGCCATTTTTATTCTCTTATTTGTTTTACGCTATTATATCGTGCTACATTTTTACTCTACACTGTTCTTCGTAGGGTCTCTATTGTTGTGGCCGAGTACGCAGAGTTTCATGAAATGAAGTCCTCGTTTCAGTTGGTAGCTACAGCAAGTTACACAGATGTTTCCTTTTATTTTAAAATAGCTAGCACATAGGAGGTCCTTGCAGTTACTCTTCAGCAGCTCGCGCTCTAGTCCAAATACCAGCTACTTGGTCTTCACCCTTTTCCCTTACAAATGCGGTTAAACAACCCACAGGTCTACAAGGATTAGGGGGATTCCTTACTCATCAGGCTTCTGGCAATTGGTCATCATACTGTTTTCATCTCTCCTGCTTACTCTAAGAAAAGGACAGGAGATGAGACACGCATCTATCTTAAGCTGGACCCCTCACAATAAGTTTCCAAAGGTGCTTACAGGAAGCCTAGGAACAAAACACCTTGTTTCCTCTTGCAAGTGACTCAGAAGTCCTACTAGCGGACTGAAATCATACCAATTCCTCTAAGCTGAATCTTACGGCTTTCCCTCGTCTACATGACTAAGATTTACAGATGCAGAAAGCTGACGGGTAGTCAAGAATAAAAAACACATAATCACAAGGCTCAGCAGTGCTTTCCTAATTATATGGCAAGACTGAGCCTTACGAGGCCAGAATCAGTCAGCAGAGAACAACAAATAACATTGTATGGATTTTCAGGCAAACCTAATGAGAGTGAGAAAGATCTCACCCTCAGGACAGCACATGAATGTTCAGCAAGAAGAGGACAAGCCAGTCCCAGTTCAGCAGAAAACATGCCATGTTAGTAACGTTTAACAGGTCAGTGTTCACAGGATTTCCTCAGACTTCGGTAAAACTGGTTTCCTTTCTATTTTTGAAGACACGTGCACAAGTGCGTACAACTATTTCTGTGTTATACCTAAAACACTTTCCCAACATTTTTTTTAAATTACAGAAGAGTTTGGTGGGTTTTTTTTTTTTTAACCTGGCTTTCCATCTTGGCCATATCCTTTCAAGTGGCAGAAGTGTAAAGTGAGACCTCTTAAGCTTCAAAGACTTCTTTTCTGCTACCACTCTCACCAAAGATGAGCCAGGTAGGAGGGGGAGAGAACTCTGTGCTAAAGATCAAATCAGAAACGTCCTTTGTGCTTACAACTGCCTTAGACCAAGACAGTGCAACTCCAGGTACGGCTTTCCCTGCTTCTACTTCAGCACGCGTCCATAGAAAACCCAGCAATCAAAAGCAGTAATACCTGCCCAGTAGATAACACTAAGAAAACTGCATCAACACTGGTGACATAAGTATTGATTAGGAATAGAAAATGGATTCAATTTCAGAGGAAAAGGTTAAAAAAAAAAAAAAAAAGGTGAACAATATCATCATCTGCAGAAGTGCTCTGCTGTTTAGAGCAGAAGTCAGGATGAATATTTTCCCACAGCTTTGAAAATTCACAACAACTTATTTCCTTCCAGACATCAGTTCAGACAGAGACCAGGAAACATTGGTCGACGACGTTTGCTTACGTGCCGCTGATTCCCACTGCTAGATCTGCTGCAGGTGCAGATCAGGTTAATCCAGGTGAGCAAAACGGAAACAAGGGGAGAAATTATCAACTTTTTGCTCACGGAGAGGTATTTTCCACCTGTCTTTGTGTAGGCAGCCCACAGCTTCCCTCAAGGCATGCAGGAGAGCAGTCCCACTGTCTTCTAGGGAGCCTTGCGCTCTCAGATCGCCCGAGTGTTTTGGAAAAATCGCCTACGTAATAAACATGAAGCCTGTGCTTTTGAAATCACTCTCCTAAGAGAGCTGAACGCTCACTTCCCACTAATTTTCATTCATTGCAAAGCCTCTGGAAAGCCAGCAAACCCAGTTCCTTGAGGGACCCCCTGAGTGGGGACAACTTTACACAAACAGCCACCTCTGAAAGCGGTGGCTGCCACAGCCCTCTGCGGGACATGCCCCTGCTGCAGTGACCAGCTAGGTGCCAGAAAGGCCCCAGGGGCTACAGAACAACAAAAGCAACCTAATACAGAAAAATTCAGACTATCCAGTCGGTTAACTTTGGGAGGGATGTAAGCAGGAGCTCACCCCATGCCAAGCCCCAAAGGCAGCAAGCTCCCAAAGCCCGGCAGCAAACCTACGCCACCCTGCAACTGCCAACCTGCTCCTGCATCCACCCAAGAGGCAGGAATTAAGGGAGGCTGTGGTCGCACTCTACTCAGGGGAAAAGGCCCACTCAGCTTGTCCAGCAAGCAGGGCCGGACAAGACGTAATTGTCCACGATGCCTGCGTAACGGGTTCAACACCGTTTCCAGGACTGAAGATAGCCTCTCCGCAAGGCACTGAATTATGCAGACAGAGCAAGTGTGCTGCAGGGTGCCTTACAGCAACAAGTAGAGAAAAGAGGGAATTTAATAAAAACAAGGTCAAGAATTTTGGTATCCGATAGCCCAACAGCAGTACAAACGAAGAAGGTACTTTTTGCTGCCCCTTTTCGTAAGCATACGTAAAAAAAACCCCACACAAACAAGCGTCCAGTAATTATAATAGCTAACTAGCAAGGCTCAACTATATAAACACTTGCCAAACTGTGAAGTAAATTCCCCTTTAACCT